AACATTGTCCCCATTTTCACTTTCTAAAAATGCAAACCTAGCTAAAAATCCATCTTTGTAAAAATAACACCAATAATTTCCAAAAGTGGGAGTCTAATAATGAGCACAGTGAAAAAAGTATTAAACAACTTGATGGAATCAAAATTAGTCCAAAATATATCTCTAACGGTTTCTCCATCCTCACACACTCTATACCTAGATACATAATAATTATCATCTAAAAGCTTCAACAGTTGTTGCATTTCAGTTTTTGGACCTCGTATCATTCTGTTGTTTCACGAACATTGTATATTTGCTTGATATTTGAGACATTTTGAGGTCTTTTATGTTTCAAAATTGCAAGTGTGTTTTTGGGTTGCATCACGTTCAATGTCATGTTAGAAACAAATTCATTCTTTTCGTGATTAAGGCGACATGCAATGGGATGACCAACTAACTTGTAGTACAAGTCATGATTATGTATATCACAAACCATTAAATGTCCAAATATTATACGACATAAGGTACCAGCACAACTTAAAAGGAAACTCACATTTTCTCAGTTTGGTATCACCCTGTTTCAACTTATTGATAGGTTTTGTGTACTTGTCACTACTTTCGTATCTCATTATCACAAATGCATGTCTTCTATCATAACCATTATTTGACCTCTCGATTATAACTCTGAACCTTATTCGGAAGTCTCTGTGTGGATCCATTGGAGCATTTGTTCACGAACAACAAACTCTCGTTTATTTGTAAATTGTTTACCAACATCTACCTCGACATCAACTAGTTTAACATTCGTAGACACAATAGCTTTGTGGACAACGTCAGGGTGCATCATATCTTAGGCCAATCACAATAGAAAAAAATTAAAAACTCAAATTCAACATTACAATAATCCAGAAGTAAACTTTTGTGTTACATTCACAATAATCCAGTGTTACACTTCCAGACACAACATTCATTTTTTTCAAAGCAAAAATCAGATTCTAGCAAGTAATGAGTAAGGAAATACATGTACATTATCTTAAATTTCTGCTTTTGTTATTTTTTATGTGACAAAACAATAGATTTTTGTTTTGAAGTACAAAATTTGATTGAATATGAAAGAAGATTTTAGCAAGATTTGAATAAGAATGATGGTATAATCATAAATGAAGAATACATACAGGGTGATGTTTTACTTAATTTTTCGTTTGGCAAATCCAAAACTGCACTTCTGAATAATTTCTGAATAATTTAGTGAATTGTGTAACAAACACGATTAGTGTAGGTATTAGTCTAAAAATACCCCATATTTTAAAACCAGATCTAAATTTGAATCTATCAAACTAGACCAAAGAAATTAGTGTGCTATTTAAGCCAAATCGGCATATATATATTGTCTAAATATTGCATAGAATAATTGACACTTTTGTTAATAAATACAACCTCAGTTTTTAAACATAGAACCTTAAAATAAATAATGTGATATTGGAAAAATTGTTTGAAGTATTAAATTTATTAACTATTTATATAATTTTACAAATTTACGCTTAAGAGAAAAAATTAATTAATATTTATATAAGAGTATTTATTACACATTTGTTACAATCTATAGTATATTAATGAAAAAATTAATTAATCCAAAGAGTTGAAAAAGAAATATATATATATATATATATATATATATATATATATATATATATATATATATATATATATATATATATATATATATATATATATATATATATATATATATATATATATATATATATATATATATATATATATATATATATATATATATATATATATATATATATATATATATATATATATATATATATATATATATATATATATATATATATATATATATATATATATATATATATATATATATATATATATATATATATATATATATATATATATATATATATATATATATATATATATATATATATATATATATATATATATATATATATATATATATATATATATATATATATATATATATGGACTGAGGAAGTAATAGTTATAAATAAATAACTTCATTTAAAGCATGAACTATCGTGCATCAATTGATAATGAATGTTTTTTTCAATAATGAATATATTTTAAATTTTGTATCGTTTTCTTTTATCTCTAAATTTATATCTTTAAATATACACTGTTATAAAATTAAAATGTAATATCTTTAAATAAATATTATATGTTGCATAATATCATTATAAATATTATATGCGTAAGACAATATTACATATAAGGCCAATTAAAATTTTTATATTTGTTATTTTATATCAATATTTTAAAAATAAAAATGTGATTTCACAAAATAAATATCACTGGTTGATAGTGTAAAAATATATATACTTTTAGTACATATTCTATTTTCTCATATAATTTCTACAAAATATTATGTTTGTAAAATATAATTTGTTAGTGTTTGGTTGAATAGTGTTAATATTACGTGCATAAAAAATATTATGTTATTTATTTTCAAGTTTTTAGTAAAGATTAAATTTCAATCATACGGTTTAATTAGATTAATACGTAACCATATGATCTGACTAGTTATCCGACAATTCAGTCTCTTTATTAGATAAATCAACAATTTAAAATTTAAAACATTTGAAAAAAATATCATCATAACTCAATCTTTTGTTTAAAATAACCACTATTTAAAAATAAAAAAACAAATAGTCACATTTTTAAAAATATATACAAAACTATTATTTTTCAAACAAAAAATAATTGTCCCCAAAAGGATGCGTGTGTCAATATATGTGGCGCATGCTCATGTGTGAAGCCAATCACAGTAGTGTGTGCATACAATCTTTAGAAGTATGTGATATTGCATGTGGGTTGTTCTAACTTTTATATATATATATATATATATATATATATATATATATATATATATATATATATATATATATATATATATATATATATATATATATATATATATATATATATATATATATATATATATATATATATATATATATATATATCATTTCCTCCCTATCATTTCTCATTTATCTTCTAACTACTTTCTTCAAAAAAAATTTAAAATATCTTATATTATCAAAATAAATGTCGATTTGATTTATTCGACAATAAAACCTCCAATAAAAATTCAACTTTAAAACACAAATATTTAAACATCTTCAAAGGGAGCATGGCTTGGCTGCCTTTATGGCGGCAATGGCACATACATGCTTTTGTGCGTCTCTCTCAATCAAATACTATCTCTCATCATTTTTTTTTATTGCAAAAAAACTCATAATTATCAATTAAAGGCACAGTGTCTTTGGCACTATAAAGGCACCAAAGCCCTTTTCTTCAGAGGAGTTTGATCTGTTGGTTAGATCAAAACATTGAGGACCGTGAAAAGATTAAAAGAATTGAAATGCTTGTTACAGTATTCAACAATAATGGAGAACATCGTATCTGAGAATCAGTTAAAATTGATAGTAATTGTCATATTATAATATATAGTTCAGATGAAATTGTTCTAATGGTTGTAATTGCATAAATATGTTGTTTAATCATTTTATTTATTTGTCGTGTTGTTGTTTTAATTGTTGTAACCGAATGTTGTAATCTTTATGAAAAGAATGTTATTTTCAATATCAAATTAAATGGTTACATAAAATGAATTATATATAAAAGCTAGACTAAAAGTGGATTCAATAATTATGTTTTGGAGCTTATTATAACATTGGAACATTTTGTACGATTGTGTCCGGACTAACGGCATAAACTACATATACATAATCTTGTCATTTTGTTTATTGTATTCATTTCGATTTGAATATGTGTGTTGTTAGCGAGACCCCCGAAGGCAAACAAATGCATGAACTACATATACATAATCTTGTCATTTTGTTTATTGTATTCATTTTGATTTACATTCGTGTGTTGTTAGCGAGACCCCGAAGGCAAACAAATGCACTAGAGTTATTAAAATTCTCTCAAGTCGTTGTGTAGGTCTATTTGATAAAATAATATTATAATTTATTTTATTGTTAAATATTTCTAATATTATATTTTTATTAAAATAATTATAAATAAGTAAAATAACAAACAACATAGGAGCAACAAACAATGTGCATGCTCTTCGTGTCATTGTTATTGGCATCTCAAAAAAAAAAATTTAAAAAGTGATTAATTTGATATATTTTTTGAAAATGTGATTATTTAAGAAATTTTTTTGAAAATAGTAGTTGTTTTTTTAATATAAAAAATCTCATAACTCTATATCTCTCCTATTCTATTTTCTCTCATCTTAACTATTATTATTTTTTCATTTATTTTTTTCATAAGACACTTTCAAAATATCCTGAAATACCATGTCTTCTCCACCAAATCTCGTTCTAAAATAAAATTGGAGAATAAAATAAATAAAATTTTGATCTTAGAAAATTATAGTAAAAAGTACAAATAAAATGCTTAATAAGTCACCGTCATAAACCTAAGTATGAGTCCACTCCATTAAAACAAACTTAACACAATAGACAATAGTCATTGTCAAAGAGTTAATTCAATGGGTCAACTTTCAATACAGAAAAAGAAAAAAAAAACTTTGCAGTGACCCGTGATTAGTGGGTTATTATATTAACTATATATATTTATATATATATATATAAAATAATTTAAAGATTATTCATCAGACTTTTGATTACATTAAACAAAAAATCAAGTTGATCAGAGATTTACAGCACCAATCACCCTTTGAGGCTAGAAAGAAAATGTAGAGACAATGGAAGGTATGATTTACAATGACAAACTAAACCACCATATAGTACTCTCTCCTCTCTTCACCTCTCACCAAGTCATGGTAACCACATCTCTTAATTACACACTACTTTTCACTCAACTTCATGAACCTTTTTAAGACAAATAGGAGAAAAAAAGGCATTTTCTGTATTGTATATTGCATCTGTATCTATTTCATCTTTAACACATTGGATATAATGTATAAGGGAGGAAGAGGTTTTTGGTAGTTCTTTCTTTACCTATGATCCCTTCTGCTGATGTTGATTTCGGTACTCTCTCATTAGTATTTCCGCGTAAAGAATCTCATTCCACGCATCAGGAACACCCGGAAGGCACCAATGACTGCAGTCTTGGTATCTCAATGGTGATTTTCTTTCTTCTGGGGACAGATTTTGCTTCCGGTATATCGAGGGATGACCGTCCTTTCGAAAATCTGTCATCCTAGTGATATTTAGGTAAGATACAGGTGTTTTCATATACTTAAGCACCTTCTCCAAGACCCTCATCTTAGGCGGGTACTCTGTTAGGTACTTTTCGTTGTCGATCGGCGCAGTTTCATGGTCACATTGCCCACCTGAATTCCATTGCCCACCACTGCATTAAAATAAAAACCATGGTTATCATTATGTTGGTACATGCGGGTCTATCTTGATTTGAAACAAAACTAAACCCAATCAATAGAAATTGTCATGCATATCTTTTTTGGTCACGAATGACAGCATAATTTCAATCCATTTGGATAAACATAAACCATAGAAATCACAACTCTTCTAAAACCAACTTTTTAATCATTTTGTTATAACTACAATCTTGAATTGCTTTAGAGTATGTATATGATATATCAAATTATGTCTATATAGAATTCCACTTGTTTTTCACTTCAAAATTTTTATATTTGTATTAATCATGTATCTTAGAATACATAAGATCATGCTCACAATTTAGTAAATAGCTCTTACGACTCAATGTTTGAATCTCGATTTGATAACCATGATAAAAACAAAGAAGTTTATATGATCAACCGGTCTTTCTAATTCCATAGTCTAATGATGATCAGCATGAGTAATGAAAATGAAACCAACAGTCATTCACCAATGTAAGACCAGAAGAAGTATAAAATAACCGATTCATGTGGTCTTTACCTGAAATGGGAAGCAGAATAGCCTCTAAACAAGACTAAGGACTTGGATGGATTTACGTTGGTATCAACCCACCTACCCCAAGTTGTTATAGCTCTTCGGAACGCTTCAAGAACATTCATCTCATCATAGACATGGCTACCTTCTTGGTAATAGTCCTTCCTAGAAATTTTCACACACTTAATCAACATTCATAACAAAGTTTCCTCTATCTTGAAATTTTGAAAAACAATTACGAAATAGACAGGAAGATAACAAAAAACAGAAAATGACCCTCAATTCCGAAATGCAAATTTGCAATCACTTCAAAAGAGAAATTAAAAAAAACTCATTTACCCTTTAGAAGTTTTATCATGAGTCCACCAGTGACCAGTATTAAAGACAATAATATCCGCATCTTTATATTGATCCGAAGATCTACCAACTAAATCAAGACGAAGTGTTTCCTTCTTTGTCCCATTCTTATCTGGCATTTCCCACTCTTGAACCAAGAACGGTGACACAAAAAGCTCCACAGAGAAGTTATAATCCTACAACACCATCAATACCAAACCAATATCATTGGTAAAAGAGTAATAACAAATCAATAACATAAGAACAAAAAACCCACAAGAAACCAATATCATTACTTACTTTGAACACAAATGAATAAGAAGCTTCCCCTCTAAAATGGACTCTTCCATTTGCTTCATAAACATTCTTTTTATCTTTCACAGAATTTTTAAGTATACAAATAAGTGATTCCCACATATTCCTATTGAGAGAATCACCAACAAAAACCAGTCTCTTCCCTCTCAACAAATCAAGCAATTTATGGCCATCCAACCTATTAGAAAAACAACATATTAACAATTCAACTCAATTAAAACAAAACTCCAAAAAATTGAAAAACAGATCAATTATAGAAAACTACAAAATATATTAAAAAACCCTAAAATCAAATCAAAAAAATTGACTAATGAAAACGTAAAACTAACACAAATTAGGGAAATCTTAGGAGAATTTAAACCAAACAAAAACACTCATAATCTAGGAAACAAACACAAAAAAATTGTAAAATTATCCCAAAAAAATCAATTATTTATACCTTGGGAGACTGCATCCCTTAGGTTTCCATTTGTATTTCTGATAATCATGATCAGGTCTTCCATTTCTTATACAATTGAACTGTTCATCAATAATTGAACAAGAACCAGGTTTATAAAGAGGATAAGAATCATCTTTAACCCATTCACCATGAAAAAAATCACAATTCATCAGAGATTCCATCAACTCCGCGTACTTGTTGTTCCCATTGTTCTTTTTCTTAGCAAGTGAAGCCGTGTAGTTTTTCAAATCAACACCTTTCAGTGAAGAATTAGAACTCAAATTCTGTTGAGGAGGAGTAACTGGAGCAACTCCTTGAACAGTAACATTTGTGGTTTGATTTGTGACGCTAGACGGTTCTATTTCCACAATTTGAGTTTTGTTTGTGGTAGGAATTGGAATTTGAACAGGAATAGTAACTGCATCTTGTGATGAGTTTTTTGAAGATTGAGATTGAGAAGTTGCATTGGCGGATCTAGTTGTGGAAGTGTTGTTTTGAAATGGATCAGGAGTTTGTGAAGTGGTGGTGTTTGGGAAAAGGTATGAGAAAATGGAGGAAAATTGAGAAGTGGAAAAGGTAGGTGTTGGGGAAATTGTGGTGGTGGAGGAAGGGGAAAAAGCAAGGAAGAGAGTGAAGGCAATGAAAATGAGCATGGCAATGAAAATGAGCATAAAAGCGTAAGCAAAAGCGATGGTGGTTTTGGTTTTGAGAATGGAGAGGAGGTTTTTGAAGTCGAGTTTGTGGAAGTTGTTGGGAGTGGTTGTGGTGGTGGCTATGGGGGTGTATTTGGTGGTGTCAGCCATGGAAGATGAAGTTAGAAAGGGTTGTTTTTGTGATGTGTGTTGTGCAATGTTGAAGATGAGAGATCTAGAGAGAGAGAATGAAGGGGTTGTAAGTTATTTAGAACATGAGATTGACATGAGAGTGAAAGTGAAAAGGAGAACAAAAATGAGTGGGGTGGGTATGTTTGGGCGAGTGAAAATAATGTGAAGTGAATGTTTAGTTTAGAATAACACTAACTACTATTAGACTTTGAGTCAAAAGGGTAGAAAGAGAAAGAAGAAGCATTTCTTGCGGTGCCGACTATTTTCTTGTCATGCGCCTTATATTAGGGCAAATTCTTTCATGTCTAAACTTTCTATGTGAACAACAAAAACTTTTAAATTTGTTAATTTTAGATGAAGATAGAAATTAATTTATCTAATATATTTATCTTTTAACAAAATTTTCAAATTATTCAAATTTAAAATTAAAAAATAAAAATTTCATGAATGGAGTCGTAAAAATGGTTCACTTTATTATTTAAAGAGCGTCAAATGGGTTGAAGTCTCCTTTAAAATTTAGGATGAGACATCAAATGAATTACAACTTTTTTTAGATATTTATAAAGGAGATTGCAATTCATTTGACGTTCCCTCCTAAATTCTAAAGGAGACTACAACCCATTTGACGTTCTCTTTTTAAATTTTAAAAAGAGAATCATTTCTATTGACGCATTTCTTCATGAAAAACGTTTTTTTTTTTAAATTTCGATAATTTATAAAATTTATTAAAAATGTGAATATATTGGATAATATTATAAATCAACATGATTATTTACATAAAAATTTCAATTACGAAATATTACTTGAAATAAATTTTCAAACTCTATATTTAACTAATATGGCATTTGTGATTTTTCAATAAAAGTGTCTCGTTTTTTTTTTTCGTCTTAAAAAGTATCTTTTATTATATAAATATAAAATTTAATATTATCTCTGTTGTTATATTTTATTTATTAACTTTTATACTATTAAATTACTCTACTAATATTTTAATAAATTTTTATTGATGTTTTGAGGTTTAATTTTATTGATGTTTTGAGGTTTAATTGCAAAACAAATTAATTTGATTGTAAAAGTTGCTTTCATAATAAATAATTAGGTCATTTAATAATGTAGTGTGACAAAAATAATAGGTATTATACTAAATTTGATTACTTATTAGTTGCGCGATAAGGTATTATGATTTATGAAGAAAACAAAGTGTCATTTTAACTTGAGAGATATTAGAAGATATAAGATTAATTAGCTGTTATTAGTTTAACTGATTTGTTCTTTAACTAATTAGTTATTATTATCGCTTATATAAATCGTGTATCTAATCCTATGATCATAACAACTTTTTTTCATTCAATGTTTCTTTTTATTGTTTCTGTCAACAACTATAATATAATATATGGTACTCCTCCGTTTCATAAAAGTGTTATATTTGAATAGTGTGTGATTTTTGAAAAAATAATTATATTAATTTAAATTATAAAATTAATATTATTTATTAGAATAGTTGAATAATGTGAAAGTTAATACACAGGGGTATAGGAAGAAAAATAAATATTACATTGGTATTATAAATGGACAATTATTTTAAGACATAAAAAATACAAATGAGACATTTTTTATGAGACGGAGACGGTATTAATAATAAAGGGTATTGAAAGCACTTTTCAAGGCATTGAAAGCAGTATAGTTGATGATGATATTATATAAAAAATAGGCGTTTACTATCAGGTATCTCACTGGTATTTGTTCTTACTCTAAACATCGTTAATATTGAGACATATCCTCAGACACGTGTTTATTTTCCCGAAAAACCTATTAACAAATCTCTGAAAGGTTGTATGAGCTCAATTCCATTTTTAAACCTTCAAATGTATTTCAGTAGAGGACATTGGTCGAGCTTTCGGAGTTCATCAGGACTCTTTTGACATTCCAATTTTGCATCAGTAAGTTAATCACCATGGAATCATTTTTATGAGGTAGGATTCCCTTTGTGTCTTCGTTGGAAAGTTGGCTTATTGCGAGGTAATTGTTCTATCAACGGGTCAGATACTAACGATATGCATTACTTGATGGGCATATCTCTTTCTTAACAAGTTAGTCGCTCTACCTCCCGTGAAACCTCCCAAAATCATATTCAAAGTGTGAGTCCTTAAGCCGGGTCATGTATTTCTTTTTTACTTCGACTCGGGGTGTTCTTTAGAGGTTCGTTATTGCTGACAGTCCTCTTCTTTATTAGCTATAAGAGTTGTCATGTACATATCTATGTAGGGGGCATTCCTGGATCAATATTTCAATTTGTCACTTTAGGTGGTGACAATCATGTGTGTGGTGACCTCGTATCTTGTAATACTTGCATCACTTATCTGACTCATTCTTCATTACATCTCCCATTAGGGGCAAGGGGTTCAGAAATTACTTTGATATGATAGATGTCCTGGAGGATTTGCTCCCTTCGAGTGTTTAGCGAGGTGAAATGCTTTAATGTCCTCCCGGTGGATTTGATTCCGGTTTTCTCTCAAACTAGAATTGTGTTATGGTTAATATATTGGTCGATTTTTCCGTTGACATGCTCTTTCACGTCTCGGGTCTCTTTTCTTCATTGATTTTTTCTCCTTTGTTATAACATTGTGCTCTCGCCACAATCTTTCCCATTGAGGTTGTCAACTTATAGACCAAGAACTCATTGAAGTACCCAACCTTAAGATGAAAAGCTCCAGCGAACATCTATTAGTTTGTATTGGCAACTTTGATAGTCTCCTCATTAAAATTGTCCAAATAGTCACACGGGGACTAGGAATAGCCCTAGCGAACATTGAATAGGCTGGCCATGAAAACCTTTTTGTGCTTGCTGGCTGAGAAATAGTGAATCATTTTTCTTATCAGATCCTAGTAACTCGACACCGAGAATCTTTGAAGGCTCATATACCACCAGAGGACGACCTCCTTCAACGTCTCGGCCATTAATTTCCACTTTAATGAGTTATCCACCCCTGATAATAGTCATATGAGTGTTGATGGAGAATATGTGCTCTTGGAGATCGCTTTTGTTGTTAAATGATACTAGAGATGATGAATTGAATTTGTCAGCGACTAGAGTGTCCCAAATCTTCACAACAAGTGGTTGGGGATTTGTGAGCTCCTCTTCCTCGTTCAATTTTTTATTTACGTGTTGTTGGTGTTGTTGGTCATGGATACTCTCATGTAATGTTTCATTCTAGCGACGTAACTCATCCATAGTAGCTAACATCTCCACTATAGAATATCTTTGTTGTTATTAATATTGGCGGCAGCCTTCATCATCGTGCTATGAAATCGAACTGTTGTTGGGATTTGGTTTATGTGGCCCAAATCATTTTTATCAGACACTTTGGTGGACATTAATGTACTTGTAAAGTTACACCAATGATAATCTTATCAGATAGGGCCAATAAAGTCACAACCATCTCTTGATCATATGTATATTTTATGAGTTGTATATATCTTTTCCCTAGTGATCATCTCTTATATAATGATTTCGGCATGTCATGTTCCTAAGGTCCATTATAAGCCATTTAATGTGATTGTCAATGATCCTTGCGATACCTTAATGGTCATTGACAATCAACTTTAATGCATTGAACTCGATTGTCAAATCACAGACCATAATTCTCTCAATCATCTACAAATGTGTTATATCTCGTATTTCAATCAAATATTAGTTATGTTTTGTGCTGACACGGTCAACTTGATCCATCGGCTACTTTAGCATGTTATATATTTAAAAAAAAAATTATATGTTATTCTATCTGATCTTGTTAATAAGATATTTTATTTTTTAAAGTTTATTGAATAATCAAAGGAATAACATCTCAAGTAGATTTTAATTACATTGATTATTTAATAAATATAAAAATAAGTAATTTTTTATTAATAGGATTAAGACCAAAGAAAGTAATATATAAATATAAATATAAATATAAATATAAATATAAAGGAGAATATGTTAAGTTGTAAGTAATATTAATTTAAAAATCATAACATTATATTAAAAATGTATATTAATCTAGTATTTTTAAGATATTCTTTTATTACATTAGATTATTTTGAAACGATAGTCTTTTTCAATTGATTTGAAAATACAAAGAGGCGATGCCACATATTTAACATTCGTATAACCCATCAATGCTTTTTTGGACTGGCAGGAGATTGCACCAATCGTCATGTGTCGGTGAAGCCGCGTTTGGAATTCTACCATTATTATTTTTTGAATGATTTTATAATAGGTGTTGAATTGGTTTGCAGTTGGAATATTGGACTTACACAAGAAATTTAACTAATAATCGCACAAATACGAGTTGCATAACAACATATGGAGAAAATTTATATAGAAACACACACTATAAAGAAAATTAAAAAACATAAAATGTACAAACAAAATTTGAAAAAGCAAAATATATTATAACTAATAACAATAGAATTTAATAGTAGTGCAGTGTAAAAATGTGATTTTGATTGTTTTCCCATGTTGGATTTGTTGCCGCTTTGCTTGGTCTATTTATAGTTTGTCATTTTGGATTTTCATGTAAGGGAGTTATGATTCTGAATGGCCGATTCGGCCGCTGGGGGATTTTTTTGAAAAAACAAGTTCAGATTTGGAATATACATTGAAAAAAAAGGGTTAGTTCTAGTTCTTTTGGATTTTAAGGGGGGTTTTCGGAGGAGGCGGTGGCCACGGTGGGCCTCCGACATCGCCACCGTCGTCGATAAATGGTAAGAGATGAACAAATGGTGATTGTGTGTGTGTGTGTGCATGTGCGCGCGTGTGAGAGAGAGAGGATGTGCGGTTGGGGAAAGTGAGAAGGATGTGGTGGTTTTTAGTTGTTTTAGAGTGTTAATTTTAATGCATCTATCTCTTTACTTCTGCATGCGTCGTCTAGTGCCAACCATTAATGTCACTACATTTCATGCACCGATCGACAATGGTTGTTTGCTGGTCCCATCTA